AGCCATTACGAATGAAGAACATAATCGAGTCTATGTTCGTTCTTAATGGATTGTAGATTCCGATAATATAAAAATATACGAGTTGAGTTGGAGCAGAAATACTTTCCTACTTTGCGTTATCATCCGTTTGACAAAATATCGAGACAAAAAAAGAGTGTAAGAAGAACATGAAAAAAAAAATTACACCTTGAAATAATAGACACAATTTTTTTACTCCCTCAGATTTCAATTTTCGTATCAAGCAATAGCTTGTTGATCTACTCGTTAATTTTTTAACGTTTTTATTGATAATTTAGTAAAAAAAAAATGTTTGAAAATTAGAAACTGATATAATCAAAATTTGTAAATTCATACATAATTTGACTTCGAAAAAACTGTAAATAATTCGATAACACTTCTTTTTAACAATTTATATTTTATTTAGTATAACCATCAATACGACTTATTTATGATTATTGAAAATATTGGTGTTATGTTAAAATGGTTACTCGTGTATTATATAATGTATCAACATGACAAATATAAAATAATAAATGAATCCAAAAGTTGTTATTTTTAAGACTCTTGATGAAACGTGAGAATAGAATTTCAGTGAACTTTTGAAATTTTATTACAATAACATCTTGACTTTCACTGAATCGTGTTAGTGTTTTTTCGCTAATTAATTAACATAATACTAATTTATTAATATTTCAAAAAATTACTATAAATTATTATATAGCGTTATAATGATTAATTTCAAACTTGTGGTCATGGTGAATAAGTTAAAAAACAAAACTTTTGTAGTACCATTAACAGGTAATAATGTATTTTAATTGGGTTTCTTTCGCTATATATTTTCTTATTGCAACGTAAGTATAGTAAAAATTAAAAAAATAAATTAAATTTTAATTAATGAAAATATACCCAGGCTGTTTTATTATTTTTAACAATATAATAAATAAAATTAGATCAGTTAGACTTTAGACTTTAAAGAAATATTAACTGTCATTTTTATATATCTTGTAACTTAATTAACAAAATGTGTTCTTTATTCGATTATTATTGTTCTTTTCTATAATCATAAAAGAATAAGATATTTTATTTTTATGTTGATATTTTTTCTAAAATTGCACATTTTTTTGAAAACGTTTGATGAGTATATTGGAAAATTTTCAGCAGTACACAATTGGCATTTGGTGGCTGATCCTTTATTTGAGGTTTTTTTTAGTATACACGTAAACTCTATGAGACAAAAGAGGGAAAAAAAGGGTCGTGTAATAAAATAAAATAAGTTTTAAGTTTTCTTGGCTACTCTGTATTTTCCTTAAACATATGCTATATATCTATATAAAAATGCTCATAGTTTTGGATGGTCAACTGCCATTTTGAAGATTAGCTGACGATTTGCAGCTTCTGCATGATAATTTGTTCGATTTTCTTTCTTGAGTACTCGTTCATGAACGTTCCACGTTATAGGGAAATATCGTAGGCTTTGTCGATGATTTTTTATAACTGTACCAATGTAATTTTCTTTAAACCATTCTAAGAATGGAAACATTTCTTCAGGCAGTTCATCATATAATAAGTTTATATTGTAAATTTCATCAATTTTAACAAAAGCTAAAGCTAAAATCATTTTCATATAAATTGAATACTCTGCATTATTTTTATACTTCGAAAATGAACCCAGTTCAACCGTTCAAAAAGTTTTTGTCAAATGAAATAAACATCCGAAAATTTGAACTTTTGGGAAATAGTTTTTAATTGCTTTGATCGCAACTTGCTCAAAATCGCAAGCAATCGATGCTGGTTTTAAGCCGGGTTTTAATTTAAGTACAATTATAAATAGTCGTTCATACGTTTGATTTATTTTTTTTATTGGGTAAAAGAGCATAAATAAGAGGATAAATGCCATTGAGATATTTACTTTTTATTACGCATACTTATGAAAATAAGGCACTACTTTAAAAGTGCCATTTACATACCAATTGGAAGACACAAATAAAATAATTAAATTATTATAACGACAAAAATTAAATTTCTATCAACTTCAGGTCCACATCGTGTTACAAAAAATTTTCAGTTACACCTTCAGGTGGCAAATATAACTGGTAGTTCTCTGGCATTATTAATATATTAAAATCTTTTGGTGCATCAAGTGTAGCTTGAATTTCACGTCGTGTGCGCCTAATTTTTATTAAAGCTCCATCGGCCATCAAAGTTCCTTAAGTAATTTTAAATGAAGTCTCAATTAAAATTACTTTTAAAAGAAATTTCGATATTTCCTGCTTATAATAGTCCACTCGTATATTCATTGATGATATTTGATGTAGGCTCCATTATCTCATTATCATTTTTTCATCTTAGTGACTGCAAAATAAGCTTCAATCTTATCTATTTCCGAATCATGGGTCAAATGTTCGAATGTTCATTTATTTGTTTTAAAACTGTTTGTCACTATTAATAGTAAAAATAATGAAGTAATAAATTATCTCCAAAGTTTCAACTAATGTATGAATTCTTACATTAAACAAATCTTTGTAACGAAATCGCTAAATCTTTTTTAATTGATTTACGCGAAATTCATTAAAAATATATATATACCTACCCATCATGTACAAATATTTCACTTCCAAGGAAAGTTTCTTCTTTCCTTGGATTCTACCGACACAAGATTCCACCAACCAGTTGACAATCTTATATTACTCAATGATCGTTGATTACATAATGGCTAATATAGATTATTTTCTCAAATAATATAATCCCAATTCTTCTTTTATAAATTTATATACAGTTTATAAACATTAAATATGTACATGTAACGGACAAAAGTGAAATAAAAACTGAAAAATGCTTTTCTATTTTGTGATAATCATAAATATATCAGATAGAAAACGTTATATTACGTTATTTAGCAATTAATTTTTATGAAAAAATCTAAAATTACTGCGTCGAAATGACTTAACGCCGAAACGGTCATGTCGAAGCAACCACACCGAAATGAACGGTTCTGCCAAATGGTAACTGTGTCGACGATGAAGATAAAACACTTTTAAAATTATAGTTTTTGCGTGTTCTCGGTTTCATCCTAAGGTGAATTAATTTAGCTAAGTAATATAATACTAACAAATACATCAATGCATACCTTTAAGAAATATTTCAGTGTTGAATATACTTATTTTATTATATGTTATAGTAGCTGTAAAATGTATCGACCTTACAATTTTAATACCAATTTGACAAGATAAACATCAATATTGGTTACTTAAAAATATAAAATTATAAATTATTATTTCTTACGTAATATCTGCGGGTATAAGGGTTTTAATATGTTATCATATTATGATCATCGTAACCGGACATTTCGAGGTGGCCATTTTGGCTTAGAATTTTTCGGCGAAATCACATAAGATTTTTTCATAAAAATAACATTAATGGCGATTAAATAATATAATGTTTTCTATCTAATATACATATTTATGATTTTCCCAAAATAGAAAATCATTTATCAGTTTTTATCTCAATCTCATCGGTTAACAATTTGAGTACTTTTTTTATATAAATAGAACACGATTATAATATTTATATTTATGTAATTCATTGCGATTATTTATTTTATTTTTCGATTTATCAATTAACTTTACCTAATAGAGTTATCAATATTATATCAATTCCGGATTGGGTTATGTGAGTTTTATATTGATTACACGTGTATTACAACATATAACGCCTAAGATGGACACTCAAATTTTGAAAGTTTTTTGGGTCGTTTGTAAATTTGGCGTGCTATTGAAACGCTTGTGATCTATTATTCACAAAACAAATATAGTTTATAATTTATATGTGTAGAAGAGATTTCAAAATGAATTCAAAGGTTCTCAGAATCAAAGTTTGCATAAAGGAGTATACAATCCTAGCAGGCGTTGGCCCGAATAACGTCAGGATATTTTATAATAACTGCAAGTCAGACTTCGAATTGAATCCACATATGACATAAAATATTGAGCCGATGTAGAAGTGTATTATTGTAATACGTCGCGTCATCAGCTAAACGCCTGGTAGTAGTAGTAGTAGCTTACTGTTTGTGCATAAATTAATTATCCGATCGGTATGCATATCCTTGCGTCAACCCAAGTTAACGAACAAAGTGACCAGAATGGTGTACAAACTACCGCAACACACGTCTTCCGCGTATTGCACACGTCGCTTAAGCCCGTTCACCTGACATCGAGGTGGCGTTTCATTGGGAATGTTTATGAGGACGCAAGTGTTGTCTCCGTCAATTCTCGACCATGGTCTAAGTACTTTTTCCGCTTGGCACTATCGATAACCTAAACTGGTATATACATTCTACGCCTATTCTACATTTATTATCATCCATATGGCTTAAAAAACTCGGACGTTGTAATGCACGGTCAGTGTTTTCAACAGCCATTTCTCCACTAGGACCGTAAGATATATTATACAAAGCAAAAGCATCGCGTTTAGAAATCGAATTTAAAAATTAAGTAGAAATATTATTTGCAGTTTACTAAAATACTGAACATCTTTAATGTTCAGTTATAATTGGTCAACCGTTTGATTCACATATAAATCAATTTAATCGTATTGAAAGGTTAAAATGTTTAGGGATGGCTTATGTTGACCATCAAGTATTATATTCTACAACACGATGTGTGATATGATTCAATCGAATGCTCGATGCAATCATCTGCATTATACCGAATGGTATGATTACTAAATAATCAGTATAGTTTCGTATTTTTTACGGATGGTTAATAAAATGTATTTGCAAGCAAGTTATGTTAGAAAATTAAATGTACATGCGCGTGTTTGGTTGTATATTTATAAACATAATGCATACAAATATTTTAACATAGCAATAAAATCTAAAAATAACCATTCAAAATGAAAAGTTTAAAATTCTTTAACTCACTTCCTCCCTCCCATTATTCGCAATGTGATAATTTATTTTTCTCATTATATAAATATGTATATATTTAACATTGCTTTTCCAGATAATGCGACAACTGTTCATTGTGAGCTATACATTCGGAGTTTCGGGTCCATAAGTCCGGTTACCATGGTATGTACTTATAATACACAAAGTTTCGTATAAATATACTATAAAAAATATATAAAACAAATTTGATACTAATATTTTATTGATATTATTGTACATATATACTTTATTAAAATTATTGATAAAATTGTAAAATATTATGTTTTATGAAATTATTCGAATGTATATGATAAAATATAGTATAGTCATCATTTAAATCGTGAAAAAAATGTTAAAATTGTTTAAAATTATAATGAAATAGGTAACTAGTAGTGCTGTGCATAGCCCGGTCTTAATCAATCCGGTCTTAACATACAAAAATTACTGAATCGTTAGTTTAGTCCAGTTCAATATTTTTTAAGAATAATTTGGTCCCAGTCCTCAGATCAAATGCTTTATTTTCAGTTCAGTCCGGTTTCAAAAAAAAGAAATGAATATTAGTCTGATCCGGTCAGACCGATCCCAATTATGGTACTTAAAATCTAAATACAGATGTTAATATGTAAACAAATAAAACGAAAATAAACCTACAGTTTTACGTATATATTTATT